GATGACAAATCTGAACCAAAACGCTCCAATGTGAATTATTATGTGCGACCGGTTTCTTTGCAATTAAACCGTGACATAAAATATTAACACTCACAGCTGTTTAACCTTGAGAAAGGTTAACAATCAGTAAGAGGTCGATCACAATAAAAGCTAACCTCGTTTCGTTTTGAAGCATGGCTAAGAAAAGGAAACACTTTTTGAAATGTTGCAACCATAAACTGTTATGGTTTATGTGGGATTTTATGTAGCAGATCAACACAGATAATTCATGGATATGGTTTCACAGGAATAGAAAACACTTTTTTTTTATTATCAAATAAAACTCTGGCAAGCATGGCATTTAATTATGTAATTTGATCCAAGTACAAATTCAGCATTTCTGTGAAGGCATCAGGTTTTTAGACAATCTTATTGAACAAGAAGCATCAAGAAGACCAAAGAACACACCCAATTGGTCAGAAATAAAGTTGTGAAGAAGTTAAAAATAGGTCATAAAACCAGATCCCAAGCTTTAAACGTGTAATGAGACGTAGGTTCAGCTTCCAGTAGGATTAAGATCACGAATCTAAAACCATAGACATAACAAAATGTTTTAGAAAGCATATCCATGTTTTATAACGTGACTTAATAATTAATGCTCACAGATCCAATTTTACTTGGCTTAAGCTGTTTTCCAAAGAAAAACAGGTACAGATTTAACTTTCAAAATGTGCAAAGTTGGTTCTACTGTTGAATCCCACACTTTTTAGATTTTTGTTTGAAAAAGAACTTTGAAAACAATCTGCCATTATTCTTCCTCTTTGTAATTATGCACCTCATTGTATTCAGCTGTCAAATGAAATCACCATAAAACACATAAGTTTCTAGCTATGCGAAAAAGTTGAAGCGGTATGAATGCTCTGCAAGCTTTTGACTGGCTGAATTCAGATAATCCATATCTCCACATGAAATTTTGTATTTCAGTTTAACGACTAACATTTCATAGATTATCATTTCCTGTTAGACAGACAAAGCCTGAGCGCAGTTTATGCCAACATGTCTATATTTTTCTAAGTGTATAAATGTCAAGGATCAGAAAATTGTTGCCCAAAGAGGTACAAATCAAAAGCAAATTGGACAATCATTCAAATAATCCACCAAAAGACAAACTATGTTACTCTAGCCACTCTCATGTCAGCACTTTTATATTCTTGTTTGGTAGCGAAGAAAAAAAAAACAAACGAAAACCTCCTAGCCTGATGAGAATATTAACACACTTGACGCAGGCGCCCACTTTCAGCAGTGGCTACATCTCACTTAGAAACCCCTCTTCTTCCAAGAGACGACAGGGTTATTCATGAGAGGTTAAGTGATTTGACCTGCTCAGATGCCCGCTTAACGGAAGACAGTCAATTAAGGCAGAGAGAAAAAAAAAAAAAGACAAGAAAACAGGCCAGTGAAGCCCAACATAACAACTCCCTTCCCTCGGCTGACGGCCACAGCAGATGAGTCACAAAGACTGGCTATTAGAGGGAGCCCTAAAATGTGGAAAACGGTGCTGTCAAAAATCATCATTGTGCGTTTGTGTCTCTGCTTTCAGGAAATGCAAAGGCAGTGTCACACTATTGTGCATGTTAGCAGGGGTTTTCTAGCAACAACGGCAAAATTACGACAAGCTGATGGTGTGATGTTTGCAAACAATTGTCACGCACAAGAATGCTAATTTGCTAATTCTGAAGTTGCAGTTAAACGTACCTCTAAACCAGGGTAACAATTATGAGAAAGATTTATTCGTCTTTTTAGAACTACAATTAGATCCACAAGTTTGAAATACACGCCATTTGCTCTCATCCTCACAAAGCCACAATTATGCACACAAACTCAAATGATATTTGGATAAATGCTGATGACCAACTTGCAGAGAAACCACATCATCAGGCTTCTGACATAACTTTGGCTGCGTTTTCGACCACTCCACTCATCAGAAACAGTAGAGTTTATTAAGCAGTTGGACTCCTGATGAAGAGATGGCTTTAGGGGTACTGGCCATAAATTTTCAAATGGACTGAAGTCAAGGCCGTTCTAGAAATTTAGTTAGTCTGATTTATTCGCTATAAAATCAGTTTTCTCTGGTGTATTTGTGATCACACTCCCTTTGGAGCACCGTATTTTATCCTGATACTTTGAGATACAAATTGTCACCATCAGATGAAAGGCAACCAGTTACAATGACCTGAAAACAACCCAGGAATGACCAAGGTACAGACTTGTATCTTTGTCCACAAAATGCATCTGGACAGATTATTTAAGATCAAACATGACTTTGACTGTTTGGGCAAAATGACAAGAAAAAGATTAGGGCCAAAATGAAGCTGTTAAAGGACAGAGCTCCATACCAACTATGAATCATGTAAAGGGATGCTTTTGAGAGAAGAAACATTTATTCATAAAAATATGCTTTTATTCTCCCCTTCCTAATCCCCATTTTCTTTTAATTACTGGTGGCCCATCCTCAAATCATACCATTGTCGAATATTAACATCAAAACTGGAAGAGGTGCAGTATTTTAAAATCATGGATACAAGATTTATTGAGGGGCTGAAAAAAAGCATTTTCTAAAATTGTAAATTGGCTGTTGTTTTTTGTATCGGTACTTACGAACAACTTGGTGTTTTGCAAAACCATAGCTCTGCTACATAGAAAACCGATAATGTTCATTAAGAAAAGTTTGCCACACGCAACTATAGTAATTACTCATAAATCCTGACGCAGCCTCTAAGCTGCCCCTCGGCATGATACAGGGGACCAGTCATCAGAAAACTATACCCAGTCTGTTGCTAGGAAAACCCCAGACATTAAAATGATCTGTGTGTGTGTGTGTGTGTGTGTGTGTGAGAGAGAGAGTGCCGCGAACACCCTTCAAGGACATCACAATCATTAGGCATCACCTTACATCGGCAGCTGCGGCAGATACGAGAAGCGCGTCAGCGTCAGGAATGCAGGGAGCCACGCTTCCAATCAGGCTCACCACTTCACATCAGGCATTCCTGTCATTTTCTGCATCATCTTACAACAACCGCAGCAATTAAGCCCTGGTAATATGGAGCAGGTAAATAAATAAAAATAAAACATCTGCCCACGACGTGATATATGCCTCCAAGCAGCTTAAGACCTCTGAGGCCACCTTCATGAAAAGCCCTTTGATTATTAATGTGGAAAGCGACGGCCCACCTCTCGACGTGGCCCCGGACGGCGTTGCTCTTTACTTGGCCTCCGGGAGGAAGCTATTGTTAATTTATCAGACCTGCGCCCTTCTCTTTGTTACTTCTTCACGCACTACAGGGTCATCTGCACCTGCAGAGCTAGAGTTTCTTGGAAGAATTTTTTTTTATTTTTTTTTATTGAGCCTATGAAATTAATAGATATTTATATTTAGGTAAAGACAACACTGACCTCATCACAACTTGTGAGATTGTCTGATGACTAGCGATTGTTCCCTCCCGGATCCACAGCTGCAGCTATTTACCGTTGCTGCTGCTCTGCTGACTGTGGCAGCTTTTACAGGAGTTTTATCCTTCCTTCTGGAATGGTTTGTCATTTTATTACACCACCATTCCATAAAAAAAAAAAACTTATGTAGGGTATTAAAAATATGTTAATCAGGCATTTTTATATTGTAAATGTAATGTTCTATAACGAAGCTCGAGCAAAGGTTGAGGAGGCTAATGATTATCTTCAGAACTTTAACTGGCACGAGCCTGTTTACGTGTCTATTCATATTTTCTATCCGTTTGGTTTCCATGTTTGTTGACCGCTCCTAAAATGATTGAATGCATTTGTCTCTTATCCCCGGGAAGACAGCATTACAGTAGCAGCGAATACTATAACAGGCACAGACACATGACACAGATGCATTTCAGTAAATCAGAATATCATGGAAGAGATCATTTATTTTAGTAATTTGATCAAGTAAAACTTATTTTATTGAGGTTTACTGCACACAGAGTGGTACAATTTGAGTCTTTATTTCTGTTTATTTTTTACCGCTTATGTGCTAATGATGCCCAAACACATAATTTCTTAGAAATGCAGAATACTACTTAAATCCAACAAAGAAAAAAAAAATTAAATACAGAAACATGTCCCCATACATTCTGCACTTTGTGAAGTTAGTACTTGGTTGGGGTTCAGTTTGGCCTGACTGATTATGTCACTGTGGTCAGGAATGGAGGTGATAAGTCTAGAGTGCTATAATGTTTCCTTATTACAGCTGCAGTATGGGCATAAAAAACTATGAATAAAAAGCAAAAAACTTCATAAAATGCTTCAGATAACATGGATTCTGTTTCTCAATTCTTCTCAACTCTAAGACTTTAAATCTAATCTGAGAAAGGGGAAAAAAATGCATCTTTCTTCCTTACTTTAATTTTGGACGGTTCATTGACTTTCCTGATCATATTCTTGGCAGTATTTTGCTTCACAATCCTCTCGAGGCTGTGCTTATTCCAACTGTTTTGCACGTTTTTCTCTGCTACACTTTTTCCTTCCACTCAACTTTCCATTATATGCATGGACACGGAGCATTCTCTCAAAAACCAGCTTCTTTGGCAATGACCGCTTTGGCTTACCGCTCTATGTGGAGGTTGTCAATGACTGGACAACTGTCAAGTCTGTCCCATTACATGTAATTCTGGAGTTTTATGAGCAACAAATTAAAATAAGAAATATTTTATATGTTTTATTTAAAAAATAGATATATAATATCTTATATTTTATATTATATATATAGCAGGAGTTATATAGGGTGTAACAAATCTATATAACTTTTGCTTTTAAGGAAGAAATAATGAATTAAATCACCTTTAAAATGAAAAATAATTCATTTACAAACACCATCTACTTAATTTGATTGATTTCACAGAAAGGTCTGACTAATGACTTTAAGCAAAATGAGGTCAAGTCACCACTTAAAGCTCCAGATATTTTTTTCTTTTTCTTTTTTTTTTGTGAATGGATTCTACCTTTTCCGTAGTTGAAGTGCAGCTTGATGGTCTTGCCCTGGTTGATGTGCAGGTAGGTGAACCACACGGCCGAGGTGAGCAGCACCAGCAGCAGCAGGAGCTTGAACTGCTTCCGGATCTTCTTCACGGGGAAGCGCAGCATCCTCGCTGAAACATCCTCCGGTGGATAGGAGACAAAACGGGTCCGGGGAAAGTGGTCCTTGAAGGCGCTGCTGTTGGACTCTTCGCTGGGCTCTCTCTGCTTGGCGGACCAGCCTCTCCTGAAGTCACGGCGAAGGCATCCCGCGGCACGGACTGCTGCTGACTACAACCCCGAGGCGCGTCTCATCCCCCCACACCCGCGGCGTGACGGCACTTTGGTGGCGTCCTCTGATGTGGATCCAAGCGCCTCTGTGCAAGGCATTGCTTGCGGATTCACCCCTGTTTCTCTCTCTCTCTCTCTCTTTCTTCCTCTTTGTAGCTTTAGAGTTTACACGCACTTGGGCGAAAGCAGTGAAAAGGCTGCAGCTCCAAAGCCGCTAAATTCAGTTGAGAGTGTGACCGGGTGAGCAAAATAGCACTCTAGCGATAATCTATCCAAATCCCCTGGGGCTCAAGCCCTTTGCTGACACCGCGACGCTGATTATTTCATCGGCCACTCAAGGATCATCCCCGCCGGCCGTGGGTTTAGCGCAAAGCATCAAAGAGGAGCAAGAGGAGGAATGGAAGTTTCCTTCCATGTGGAGAGGTGAGCCCGTTAATGGAGGGTGTGATCTTTGCAAATGAGGAGAAGCGAATCAGTGATGCGGTCTGATGGCGTTTGTGTGAAATCTTTGACAAGGACGTGAGGAGTGAAGAACCCGACGAGGAGGAAGCCAAACGTTACAGCCCCGTGCGCTCTATCTATTGTCTCTCACACACACACACACACACACACACACACACACAGCTGAGAAAGAAGGCGGCGCACTACTCAGTTGGAGCGCCTTTTTATCCCGGTCCGGGGAGAGGAGGGGCGATCAGCTGTCATCCTCGCACTCGGATGGGTTCTCGAAGCCCCCGCGACGAGTAGTAAAAAAACAAACAAATAAACAAAAAACAAATAAATAACACAATTAAAACTGTTAACGCTCCATGGCGGCACGACGAGGGCGCAGGTTACTCAGGTCTGACAGTCCGACGTGAGGTCCAGGGAGCAGATCCGTCCATGTGCTTCGGTTCCCTTCCCTCTTCACGGCAGGTGCAATTTCCCCAAAGTGTCCGAGTCCGCCATGCGTGCGTAGAAGGACCCCAGTCAAGCAAGCTCACCTGAATTAAAGTGATGCACGCTGGTGTGCTGCTGCTGCTGCTGCTAGCCGCGATGCGCTGCCCTGTGTTGTTGTTCCTGTCATGAGCTTTCTTTTACCCACCTTTAAAACGGCCGCAACAACTGAGCCAGAGCCGCTTATCAAGCAGTGCGGTGGGAGAAAAAACAGCGGATCTCCGGGAGGATTTTGCCGCAGAGAAAGCAAACGCAGACAGAAACGAACATGGTTTTTGTTGTGCTGCACAATGGGAACACGTAAGGGTATCTTTCTGTACGCCCATCAATTGAGCAGCATCACAACGGTACGGAGCAACCTAACCTGGGTGGTCGGGGAGTGGCGAGCCAGCCGACCAATTGCAAGTCTGCAAACGGGGCAGAGGAGGCGGGATGACGACGTTCAACCTGACCGTTTTTTGTTGTTTTTTTTGCAGGCTGCTAGTATGATCCATTATTTAACAACTGAATTCATAACCTAAAACATATCCAGCTTTTCCACAGGAAACAGATGTACAGTGTTGATCTCCTGTTTATGGTAAACTGAACTGGAAAAAGACAGTTAGGTCTGTCTCAATAAGCAACTAATGACATGATAAATTGAAATAAGCTCAATTATTTCCGTTTGCATGATTTGTCGTTTTTCTTTTTTTTTTTTCCTCACTCTTTCTACCTAAAACTTGGATGACGTCTTCAGCCTAGTGCTTTTGGTCTTTTTTTTTGAAGGACAATACACATTGGTTCTGTTGTTTGTTTTTTTATTTCTATTGAATATTTAAAATGTCTTCCAGTTCCAGCGTTAAATATTCATTGAATTTATATTACTTGAAAATGGCCTGAAAACAACAATATGGTTTAACTTCAGGGACAAATCATCGTTCTGCAAAATGTATTATAGTGACAGGCCGAGTATCAGTGATAAAGTCAATGAAGTGTCATTTGAAGATGTCAATAGTTGGAGATGGATTCTTTTCTTCTTGACATGTCCAACGTGTTAGCTGAGAACAGGACGTTTCAGCGGCTTTGCAGAAGTCTACTTGTAATTTGTGCATCAACATCACAGATTGCCGTCAATCTAGAAAACTTCCTCTTCATGTTCGATCTAGCAATGTTTTTGTATATAGTTCTTATGTGACAACATTCTTGAAGAATTTATCTGAATTTTGACTCTTTCATGTAAGAAATATGTGTGTTTTCAAACAAATTTGGCGGATGGAGAAAAAAAAGGATCATTTTAGTTATTTTTTAATCCTCCATTTGGTGCTCCACGTTAGCACCATCAGGCCCTCTGACCACCACCAGTAGGCGTGGCAGATGAAGTGTCTTATCCAAGGACGCAAAGACAGACCAAGCGGAGACAAACTCCTTCGTCTCACACACACACATAATATTCAACAATCAGTATCTGCAATAAACTGAATAGCAGTGAGGATATTTGGATGCACCCTTTCTCCAGCACACCTTAATTAAATGGAGTGTCTATTGATTGCCTATTTAAAGTTGACACACGACCTCCCTCGGAACAGGATGTGGTGAGGATGCAATTTAAGCAGATTTTTAAACTGTCCACTTGAGACGGTGCTGAGCCAGTCTTAGGGTGGATGCCCTTCTAGTTTTACTGAAATGAATTGACTGCCCAAGTGGGGCAATCAATCATGTTTATTTACAGCACATTTCAGCAACAAGGCAGTTCGAAGGCCACTGTGCAAACACAATACAGTAACAAACAATAAATGTGGTCAAGTGCCACCATCAAAATCATCAATGCACATCAAATATGTTGGTCAATGCTACAGTGATTAAAGTTAAGATCCCTGATTGTTTAAGAGTTTTAGAGTTTTAGTTTATTCATTCTAGCTTGAGTATTCCGTGTTGCTTTACTTTGACAAGATCAGTGTTGTTTTTGTTTTATTTTAGTTCATTTATACTTAGTGCTCCTAAAATTCCCTGTGGGATTTTTTGTAAGCTTTTTATCATTTTTTTCATTAAACATTCAGCATGCTCCCAGCTTGGAGCATGCTGAATGTTGGATCACCCAACAACTCACATTTCATGACAATTATAGGTTGAAAGCAACTTTATGCAGATGGCTTTTTAACCTCGATTTAAAGAAACTCGGCGTTTCAGCTGTTCTGTAGTTTTCTAGAAGCTTGTTCCAGATTTGTGGTGCACGGAAGCTGAATGCTGCTTCTGCATGTTCTGAGAATACAGAGCGAACCAGAACCAGAAGACCTGAGTGGCCTGGAGGGTTGATGGAACAGTTAATGAATTTCGGTGCTAAGTTATTCAGTGACTTATAAACAGTATTTTAAAGTCTCTTCTCTGAATTACAGGGAGACAGTGTAAGGATTTTAAAACTGGGGCGATGTTCTCTATCCTCCTGGTTTTAGTGAGAAGGTGAGCAGCAGTGCTCTGGATCAACTACATATGTCTGTTGCCGTAATCAATGTGATTTAAGATAAACGCACATTAGTTCTTCGGTCCTGAAAATCTTCTTCGGGTGATGGAAGGCTGACTTTGTAACTGTTTTTATGTGTATTTGAAGGCTCAAGTCTGAATCTATCACTACACCCAGACTTCAGGCCTGATCACTGGTTTCTAGCAGTAACAACTGAAGCTGTGCACTGACTCGAGATCGTTCTTCTATGAGTCCTGTTCAAAAACCTGTGAGTCCAGACACACGGTACCAGCCAGCCTGAGGAAAATGAATAGGGACCCTGGAATGGTGGGTCTGGTTGCTTCTCAGCATCTGATCAGATTTTCTCAACAAAAGCTGGAAAGTGAGATGTTGCTGATGGATGGAGTAATGCCACAACAAATCCTAATCTGATTCAGGTAACTGGACAGTGCAGTAAGGAGGAGAGTAAAGAATAATAGAAAAATAAGATTTAAAAAAAAGAAAAGAATGAAGCAAAGTAATTAGATTTAATGCCCTAAAAACTTTATATTGTAACCAAAATGATAATAAAGCAATCTAAAAAAAAGAGAGATGAAGAGTTGATCTCTTCAAGTGGTAACATTGAAACTAAAAACAAATGATTTACTTATTTTGTGAATAAAGTGCATACCTCAGGTCTTTCAGATTTCCAGACATCTAACAATTAAATTCTACTCAAGTTTGTGTGACAGACAATTCCATGTGAGTGCAAGACTGCCGCCTGGTGGTGGAATACAAATTAAAGGCAAGCCATGCTTGCGTGTTTTAAGTAGGGCAACAGTCTGCAGTAACTGTACTGCTGATGTAAGGTGTTTGAAATTATTGGAAAATTCTAAATAAATTAAAAGTTTGCATAATCTCCTACATTATTTCTTTGTGGGGAGTTTGTTTTTTTCATGGAGAAGATCGATTTATTTTCATTTAAGCTTCATTTTACCAGAAAAAAATGTGTGAGAACCAGTTCTGTAATAAACATGACTGAATTTGATCATTTTGGACACCATGTTAAAGCTGATGTCGCTCTTTATATTACACGTTTTAAGGTCTGTCAGCTGTTAGATATCCAGTTTGGAGTCATGTCACACTGTAAGAATTTGCTAAACATCATGAAAAAAGAAGTAAGTTGGTTCTTTGTTGCCTCTTGTTATTACTAATATAACAACTTTTAATATGGTTGATAAAAATGTAATTCCATTCCAACTAAAAGTTGCTTAAAAATATGACAATGACATTAAATTCTCCAATAACTAAAAACAAACAATACTGTCATGTAAAATTAGTCCTATTAGGGAACAGTTACTTAAACACTTCAAGAAAACTGAAAAGCTGAAGTCCAGGGTTTCAGGCCTGACTTACTGTTATATTTATATACCTTCATAATTTCAGCCCTTGATTTTCTGACTAGGCTGCACAGTGGCGCAGTTGGTAGAGCTGTTGCCTTGCAGCAAGAAGGTTCTGGGTTCAATTCCTGGCCCCGGTCTTTCTGCATGGAGTTTGTATTTTCTCCGTTCCGGTTTCCTCCCACAGTCCAAAAACATGATTGTCAGGTTACTTGACCTCTCCAAATTGCCCCTAGGTGTGAGTGTGTGTATTCATGGCTGTGTGTCTCTGTGTTGCCCTGCAACAGACTGGCGACCTGTCCAGGGTGCACCCCGCCTCTCGCCCGGAACGTTAGCTGGAGATGGGCACCAGCACCCCTCCTGACCCCACTGAGGGACAAGGGTGTAAAGAAAATGGATGGATATTCTGACTATAAGATGCACTATTATCTTCAGTCTATTCTGCATTTTAAGCACAGTGAGAATAAAACATGTCTTGTTAATTAGGGTTTGAAATACTGTTGTAGTTTCAAACATCTACAAAAACTAATATTTTATTTTATTTATTTATTTATTTATTTATTTATTTATTTATTTATTTATTTATTTATTTATTTATTTATTTGTTTATTTATTTGGTGTCAGATAACATAATTTACACATTAAGCAATACACAGTAAGCCCAACAGGCTAAACCTTCATAGAGGCAAATAAGGTGGTGAACACAGACATCTGGAATGACTTCACAACTGACATGTTTCACACATTGTAGATTGTAGATCTACAAATTGTAGATTCAAACATCTACAAAAATAAATATTTTTGTTGATGTTTGAATCTACAAAAATAGAATGAAGTCTCTTTCCCCATCCTTTTTCAAAACAGCCTCATCCATCATCTATATAGACCAATTTTTATTCATTTCACTATCCTGCTGTAAAGAATTATTTATTCACGTTCTGTTTTTGTATATTGGGAACATTTCCGTTGCTTTTGGTGTCTTGCTCTCTTCATGTGCAAATTTCTCTATACTTTGGTTATTAAAGACTCGGCTCATTTCCACCATGGTCAGTTTCTGCATTTGAGTCCATCATTTTACTAACTAACTAACTTTATTTGATTGCTTCCACAATTACGCTATCTCTTATCTCATATATTCTAGGTCATAGTATTTGACCTCAGATTATACAACACTTTATCATAATTTTTTTATGAAAAAACTAATCAAAAACAATGATGTCGTCTGTGAAATACTGAAGGCAAAAGGAGAGAAGAAAACATGTCATTTTCGAAACTAATTGTCAGTTCTCAAAGGCATTGAATGTTGCAAGGTAAGGTGATGCAACACTGTGGCAAACCTTCAGCTCTTCCTGCTTTCCTGCATTGATGGGAATCTTTACAGACGCACACACACATCACGCATGCACGCACACACACACACACACACACACACACACACACACAGACATATGTACTGTATGTATAATAACTGCTCTAATAATATCATCTTTTGAGCAAAAGAATTCACTTTTCACCTTTGACCTACTTCGGTTTACAGCGTGACCTCAGATTTAAAGTAAAACTAACTTTATGATAGGCTTTAAAGTTATGTCCTGTTGTCTGAAATCCGTAGCTGGTTTTGATTAAAAACTAAAAAAAATTATAACTTTAAAATGCTTCCCCCTCCATCACCTGGCTGAAGCACACCATGAATTATACAATCATATTTGGTGGCAAAACTTATTTTCACCAGACTGCAAAGAGAAACTAATTAAATGTCTTTCTTTTGTTTTTGAGTTTATTTCAACTTAGACACAGCAGGCGAGGTGCAGACTTTTAACTTGCATTAACAATGGACCCATTAAAACTTCAAAGACCACATGTGGCTCAATTTACTGGCAATTAGTGGTGTGAAATAGAGAGAGAAAAAAATATAGACTTTATAGTCTATTTATGCAGGCAAACACGCCTTCC